AAGGTCCATGGAAACCATGTGAGACTGAAATTAAATGGGACACATCAGCTGATGGTCTGTGCTGATGTGAAAATACTGGGTGATAATATACTTACCATAAAAGAAAACACACACTTTAATTGATGCTGGTAAGGAGGTTAGTCAAGAAATAAACACAGAGAAAACTGAGTATATGCTGCTGTCTCATGACCAGAATGCAGGGCAAAATCATGACATAAAGATAGATGACAGATGTTTTGAAAATGTGGCACAGTTCAGATATTTGGGAACGACTATAACAAATCAAAACCTGATTGAGGAGGAAATTAAGAGGGGATTGAACTCGGGTAATGCTTTCTACCATTCAGTCCAGAAGCTGTTGTCTTCTCGTCTGCTATCCAAAAACATAAAAATTAGAATATACAAGGCTGTAATATTGCCTGTAGTTCTGTATGAGTGTGAAACTTAGTCTCTGACACTAAGGGAGGAACATAGACTGAGGGTGTTTGAGAACAGAGTGTTGAGGAGAATATTTGGACCGAAGAGAGATGAAGTGACAGGAGGTTAGAGAAAACTGAATAATGAGGAGCTTCATAATTTCTACTCTTCTCCCAGTGAAATGATAAGTCAAGCAGGATGAGATGAGCATGGCATGAAGCACAATGGGGGCAAAGAGAAATGTATGTAGGATATTGGTGGGGAAAGCCAGAAGGAAAGAGACCACTAGGAAGACCAAGATGTAGGTGGGTGGACAGTATTAAAGTGGATCTTAAATAGGATGGGATGGTATGGATTTGACTGATCTATCTCAGGATAGGGACCAATGGAGGGACCTTGTGAACGTGGTAATGAACCTTTGGCTTCCATAAAATGCTGGAAAGTTCTTGAGTAGCTGCACAATTGGTGGCTTCTTAAGGGCTCAGCTCTGTGAGTGAGTGAGAGAGATATAAATTCTTATACATTTTCTTATTGTATTTTTTATTCTATAGCAGTGGTTCCCAAACTTTGATCCACAGAGCCCAGGAGCTCTGTGAAGGGTTTCTAGTGGAGTTGCAGAGACCTAAACTAATGACAAATTTTAATTTTTGAGAAATTCTTATATTCCAAAATCTGTGTGTGACAGAAAGTAAGAGAGGTATCCACAATACATACTTCTCTTTTCTGCAGAGATGTAAATTAATTGCCTCAAAACTGATAGTTTAGTTCTGTTTGATTTGCTATGATGTTGGAATTTTGAGAAATAAGTAAGTAGCATTTGTTTTCATTTAATTCCTTTTACTTTGTTCATTGATTTTTAAGTCCATCACTTATGGTGATAAGCCACATTTATATTTAATCATATATGCCATGTTGGATTAGTAACTAAAGGGAGACAGTTTAAAGAAACATTCAAGCAGAGCTGCAGCTGGAACTGAAGACAGAAGCAAATTTGAGGCTTCAGCATCATCATATCAAAGTGTTGACTACATTGATCAAGACACAACTGCTTGCAGAGTGACCTGCTACAGGTGCAATAAATAGTAAAAAGTGGAAATACAATGAATCTTATTTGTCTTTGAATAATGTAAGTGCTGCAGGTGCACACTGCCCTGTTTAACAAAGTGTTATCAAACAGTTCCATCTTTCCTCCTGAACTCTGTAGATATCCTGAAACTGGTGATCCAGATTGCACAGTCTGAGACATATTTTTAACTGATGTCAAAAACCCTCTCACCAAAGTTTGCAGAAGCTGATGATGAAACTGCAGCTGTTGCCTCCATGAGTGAGTTACTGCATTGTACTTGAAGGAGATGCTCTTAAACTCATGGAAGGTAATTAACCCACATGCTATTGAATTGGCAGTATGTGTGTTGGGTGAGTGAAAGGAAAAAAAACTTGAGAATATTCAGTTGCTCGGTAATAGTTTGTACTGCTGCATTTAAGGTGTATCAAATTAAATATAATGTGCAACTCAAATTGTGTAATGGCTTGCCCTTGCTGATCAATAAATCAGCAGTTGTATCCAGATGGACAGTGTAATTTATGTGTGTTTATTACTGCTACTGGAATAAAATTGAGAAAGATTTGGTGTGCTCTGAATCTGTTGACGGTCAGTGCAGTTGAAGGGAATGCTACCTGTGTGAAAGAACATGAAATCTGTTGGCAAAAGTGTATATACAGATGGAGTCAGAGCAATGCTATGAAGAAGTGTGTCAGAACTTCAGTACCACCCTGTTTGTGCAGTTACTGCATGCCCTGCCAATAAGCGCCAGCTAAAATAATGCAGACAGGCCTAAAAAATATGCCAGATTAAGCTACAAGAACAGAAAATCGCATAAATCTGAACTCCTGAATGTTAAATAATACTTTGTGAGGAAATGAACAGTAAACATACAGCAGTAAGGTGACCTTGAGTGCCACATGCTCAGGGTTTATGATCTGCAGCAAGAAATACCCATGTAGCTCATCCATCTTATCTGTCACACTGTTTTAAATGTAACTTATAATTCTAGAAATTGACATACCTGGCAGTCATTTTCACAAAGATTAATGAACTACACCTCTCACCACAAGGGATAGAATTGCTTCTTCCCACTATAAGCTTGAATTTTTGCCCAACCAATATTGTCGAAAGCAAAAAAAAAAAAACAGTTAATGTTTTCAAAGTAGGAGTGATTTGATGACAGAATCTGAAAGTGATTTGGAGGAAATGGCTTTAAATGTTATTATCCAACATTTGAATGGCTTGCAGCAGTTTCAGACTACTTCCCTTCTTTTACAAATGATGGTCCTGGATCAGAAATCCATTTTCAGTTGCAGAGATAGCCTGCCTGATTACATATCAGTGAAAGACTACAAGACTTCAATAGACATTGCCTTTGATTTCATATTGAAACAAATTGATTAAACTACCATTGGCTGAATTCTGGTGGTCTCCTTTAGGAATATTCTGAGGGGGGTATTCAGATATGTCTTGAACAGCAGTGCTGAAACTTCTCCCATTTCCTGCAACTTACAATATGAAGCTGGATTTTCAAGGTATGTGGCCACAAAAAAACAGTCTCACACTAGACCAGATGTTGTGCCCAGCAGTAGGATACAGTTTGGCACTGCCACTTCAAATTTTGGTGACCTTGTATTAGAAGAAAATGGCACCATTCCACACACTAATACAAGGTAAGGTGGAAAATTATTATTTTATATTTTCTCGGTTATTATTATAATGTTAAATTAACAAAACAGAGGGATTAAAGAAACAAAAATAGTTTAAATTACAGTTTGCATACCAAAGAGTTTAAGATCCATTTTATGACAAATCAATGAATTTAGGTTGACTATGCAACACTTCATTGTGTGTGATTAGATTTTCCATTGTTTTAGAGTAATGTAAACATGACCCACATTTAATTTTTAGTATACTTTATTGATCAGAGGACATATCTGGTTTTTCCAACACCAAAAGGAGCCCACAGGAAAAAAGTTTGGGAAACACTGTACAAGTGGCATGAAATATATAATTCATGTCAAACTTTATTGACTTCTGGAAACTGAATCTGCTGTTCTTCCTTAAAAAGACAGAGAGGAATGTATTATATCATTTGTTCGTCTTTGTGTAACACGGCCATCAGTGTTCTCATATATGTATTTTCATACATTTTTCAACATTCCACATGGTTTTGGCCTTTAATTTTTTTCTTCATTCAAGAAGGAATTGCTCAGGTTATCCTAAATGCCTACAGTGTGGTTTTAGCTTTATGTCTTGATTTAGTGGTAGGAATTTAGAGGTTTAGGAAGTGGTGGGAAGTGAAAATAAATGTCTCAAATTGTTCAAAATGCACATAATGTGTTAGTTCATCCATTCTTTGTCTTCTCGTTTTCAGATTATTCTATTATGTGTGGATTCTTTCTTATTCTCAAAAATTCATCAATCTTCTGAATTTTATCAGTATTGAATACACAAATTTTAACTGCCCCCCACTTTGGAAGCGCAGGCAGGATTTCATCTCTGCCAGTGACAGCAGGCCTGAGTGTATACAACTAGTGAATACTTAAATCCTTTGCAGATTCTCTTATGGCATACTTTTGAAAACAGTGATGCAAAAAACTTACCAAATGACAACAGAACAAAATAAACAAGTAGGTGTGGCTGTACTTTAATGTGACTCCTTTTTACTTAGGAGGTATATGGTTCAGATCTTAGCCTGGAACTTTCTTTCATGAATGAGATATTTTATTGTCTCTGTCTTAGGCAAATGACAGAACTGTACTTTCAGAGAGGCTTAGAATTCCTCCTACATACATAAGTATCCTCTATAAGCTCTGCAGTTGATATAGTGCAGTTAAATAACCTTACATTCAGTTAACATGCAAAATATGTGTGTGAAGTTACCAAAAATCAAGTTCCTTGAACTTGAAGAAAGAAGTAATTCCATGGATCACAGTCCTTGAGAATCTGATATTCAGTCAACTAGTCAATATATTCTCCACCTTCTACGGAACATGAATATCCATTTAATCTTCACAAGAGCCCACCTCTGGACACTGTCCTGAGCCAGATGAAGACAGTCCACAGTCTCACATCCTTGAAAGTGTTGCTGAGAACATTTAGAATAATAAATTGCCATTTATACATAAGGTAATTTCTGTGTAATGCTAGGCGTTGAAGTGTTGTTTTGTTACTGAAGTACCAAAACAGTTTGACAGTAATTCATTTCATAAATTTGAAAGCCTGTTTTAGAGAGTTGGGTAGACATGTATGTAAATGTCAACTTCAGATGGAAGCTGGTTTTGAGAGAAGTAGTGAGCTTTTACTATGGTATTCCTCACTCATGTACCATTTGTCACTAACTTTTGATCCTTGTCAGCAGGGACCAAATTATAGTCATGGAAACCCTGATTATAATGCTGAAAAATCAAGAATTGAAGGCGTTTTGGATTCCTGTTTAAAAATAGCATGAAATCTGTCTTCAGTAACTTTCTGTATGTTGAAACATAAAGCAGTTGGCTTGTATGGTATCATCATATTCTTGTTTCATTTTCAGGATCTAAGCAACTGGAACTGTAATATCAGTTCTCTTCAAGCTCTTGCACTTTCCCCTCGTTCAGAAACTGGTGATGGCCGGGTAAGTGCACACTAAAATTAAGGAAGTATATCTCCATGGCATGACAGTTTAGCATAGAAACAACTTTGCCCCCTTTTTTCTGCTCTTATATGTTTTCACAAACTGACTGGAACTGTAATTTTTCAGTTTGACATGTAAAAATGAACTGTCAATATTGACAAAAAATTACCAGTAATTAAGGAGATGCATGACATGCTATTTATATCTTTACCTGGGATTGTGTTTTAGAAACTTAACATTCTTTATATGGTGTTTTGTTGTCATAATCTATTTTGTATGGCTGTGGAGAGGCTGATAGTTACTGAGACTGTTGAGAAATTCTGTCTTTAATAAACCCAAACATTCATTACCAAATGGTTAAATTGGGACTCCTCTGTAGTCATATGATTCATACATGGTTACTGAAGTGCTGGGGAATATGTCATGCTTGGAGTGAGCTAATTGAATTGGGGATCGGAGGGTTGCCACATTTACTGCAATATCTTATACCATTCTCACAGTTGTCCCTCTGCTAGATGTTCAGCAGCTGCTAATGTTGTTTGCGGGGATGTTGACGTATTCAGAGCCAGGAAATTTCTCCCCAAACGATTTTTAAATATGGTATAATTGTACTATTATTATTTGCATGAGTATAAAAAAATAAACTTAATAATTATTATTATTATCCTTTCTAAATATCTATACATCTCATTTCACAATTAAATATTTATACATTTCATTTCTCAGTTCTCAATAACAACTTAGATTTATACAACCTTTTTATTATATCTGTCGCAACACAACTAATACCAAGATCAGACCATTTTCGGCCCTGCTACATGTTTCAGCTATTGATAGCCATCGTCAGGCAAACACATGATTTACACACATATACACACTACTGAACCACAGCACCAACAAAATTGGATAGAATATTATTAAAATATATACAAAAACACTTGATGTAAAAAATACAAAAATCAAGTTATATAAAACAGAAGTATGATTTAAAACAAGAATAAAATTCTTTTGGTGTTTTTACATCAATGTGTCAGTCGGTTTGTGATTTGTTTTTTGTGTCGTTCCCACGGACAAGTTGGAATATTCATACTTATGCGTATATAAAAAATTGTGTATGAGGCTTGTAATGTAGATGTAGTAAAGTAAATTATAATATTAGTCAGTGCCTCATCTCACGAAGTATTGTCCATACTGTAGGGAATGTAAACAACGACAACAATGTGTTGTGACGGATATAATAAAAAGGTTGTATATTGTAACACAATAGGATGCATGAAATGAAAAAAAAAAACTTAGATTTATGTTAATGAAATTATTATTATTATTAGTGTTATTATTATTATTATTATTATTATTATTATTATTATTATTGTTGTTGTTTATTGTCTGCATTAATGTGTTTTACTTCCAGTGCTTGCCTGTAATTTTTCTTTGACTTTATGTTGTGATTGTCCATAATGTAATTACTTGAATCTACGCTGTGCTCTGTCTGTAATTGGCCTTGCGGCTATTGACTCAGCACATAAATAATAAAGAATTGAACTGCACTGAGTTGAATTGAATTGAATTGAATTATTATTTTTTAAAATTACGTGATTCTTTTGTGGAATCCCACTATTATCCATATGTAGGTTTTCCAGCTAACCTCTACGCTTTCAGAATTTCTATATGTGTTAAATGCTGTGCCCCCTTGTCCTCTTTACTTTGATCGTATTTCATGAGGAATGCAAGTTGTGATCCTCATTATGCAATTTTCTACATCCTGTGTTACTTTTCCACTCTTAGATCCAAATATTCTTAGCACTTTGTTTTCTTTTGTCAACCACACACTTTTCTTGCATTATCCTAATGGTTGTTTATTATTTTCAGGGTGGGCGAAGTCCCATGATATCACCCCGTGCCTCGCCACAACTTCTTCGCCGAGGCACAACTCCAGTTGCACCTCCTCCCCCTTTACCACCCCGACGAGCTTCGCCTACGCTTGGTAGCCCTACAAGTTCTCCAAGGTAAAATTGTTTAAAGTGAAGCACTTTTATATGTTGAAGTAATGGCCTACAGGAGAAACTCTACAGCTACAGTTATAATATTCTATTTCAGTAGAAAAAATAATTGGTATTAACTCTGTTTATTTAGTTAAGATAATTATTGTATCAATAAGATTACAATCTTAGATTATGAGATTGCAGTTCTTCCATTTCAGTAATCAACAGTGTTTCCTTTTGTTTTATTATCAACTTGTTTTACTGATCCACAACACTCATTCCATGGTGTAGAGTCCTTGAGAAGAAATTGCTTTTAATGAAACTCGTGTTTGTTACTTTGTTCACAAGAGCCAACCACTGATTCATATCCTTATACAGATTACTTCAGTTCACATCATCACATCCTGTCTCTTTAAGATCCATTATAATATGTATTATCCTCCTTTCTATGTTTGCATCTCCCAAGTTATCCCTTCCTTTCAGGTTTTCTGTGTGCATGTCTCATCATTCTTATGGGTGGTACATATCCTCCTCTCATTATTGATTTAATCCTCCTAACACTGTTTGATGAAGAATACAAATTATGAGTTCATTGTGCATTTTTCTGTAGTCCCTGTTACTCTTGCTTTCTTAGGTCCAAATACTCTCCTCAACACATTCTCGAATACCCTCAAACTATTTTCTTCCCTTAGGATGTGAGAACATGTCTGACATCTATACAAAGGTGCAGGTAGAACTATAATTTTGTACTTACTGGTATATTGCATCCCCATACCAGCCATTAGTCTTCTAAAAAACAAAAAATATTATATTTATCAATTGGGGTAGGTGGAGAAAGATACCATGTTAGCAGAGAGTAGTCTGTGGCATGATTCTATAAGCCTACTGGAAGAGTTATTGAGACCAGCCCCAGTCATGAGACGGAATACTTTCTGTGGGACTTGGAACCAAGAATTACTGTGCTGGCGAGGGTCAACAGCAATTTACCTGACTGACCAGCCATTTGGCCCAGGTCCCTGCCATGGGGGAGGCTGCAAATATAGTCTTATTTAATTTAAAAGAATTATAATGGCTGAACAAGAATGTGGGAATTCTGTTTAATTGAATTGCTGACATACTGGTCTTGACCTCTCATGGATATTCATTTGTATTCTCTGTATGGTAAGATATTTGATTTTTTAAAGTATTTGTTAAATATATTTATATGGCTTTTGGAGTGGGGTGGGGAGGGGTGGGGAGGCCCCACATTTGTTACTGGCCCAGGCTTCATCTTGCTCTCTCAGGCCCTGTTCATGAGAATAGATAAGGAACTGGGAAGACAGTTCAGTAGCTCACTATACAGGTTGGTGTTGTGGTAATGTTCTACATCCAGGCTCAGGAGGTGCTCAGTTCAAATATTAGCCATGACACAGCTTTCCTGGCTGAGATTTTGTGTAGTTATCCCAAGCAAATGCCAGCATAACTTCTTTGTTAGTCCATAACTGCTTCCTTCCAAATCCTTCCCAATTTATCATTCATCAGTCATCCCACCATTAGGTACTATATAGCCCAAAGGCTGACAACCTTACCGCCATCTATGAGCCAATTGTCTAGAAAATGTGGGAGCCTCAACATCTCACAATCATATGGGCCTCCAAGGCCTGTTACAAGGATACCTTTACTTTTACTTTAAGTTGCTGTTTCGAATAATATTGCATAATTCACCAATTCAAATAAGTAACTACAGTGGACCCTTGATTTAACATGGATTTCAGGGATCAGCTTCAGTACCTTGTTATACATGGAACTTACATAATTCTGGAATTCCTGATATGTACGAAGGGAGACCCAAAAATAACCGAAACCGACCTGTTGCGCGTGCATGCTTTGTAGTTACGAGTTGTGCTGCTAGGTGGTGTTAGCTGGGGGTCTCCCGCGACTGTTAGTTACCTGGCGTCAGTCTGAGTTAAGTGGTTTGTCTGTGGTGCTCTGTTGTGTGCGTTCCTGTTTCAACCCTTTGGCGATTAGTGAGATGGCCGACCAGAAGGAACAAAGAGTGTGCGTGAAATTTTGCTTTCTGTTAGGGAAAACTGCAGCCGAGACTGTTGGGATGCTTCGGCAAGCCTTTAATGATGATGCTTTGGGGAAATCACAGGTCTACGAGTGGTTTTCCCGTTTCAAATCTGGCAACATGTCAACAGAAGACATGCCACGCCCCGGGCGTCCTTCGACAGGAAGAAATGACGAAAACATTGCCAAAATCAAACGTGCAATTGATGAAGATCGTCGAAAGACCATTGACCAACTTTCTGAGGAAACGAACATCTCATGGAGCACGGTCCAGCGAATTTTAACCGAAGGTTTGCACATGAGACGGGTGTCTGCAAAATTTGTTCCTCGGTTTTTGACAAGCAACAACATGGTGATTGTGCCTCATCCACCTTACTCACCCGACCTGGCTCCGTCGGACTTTTTTTTGTTTCCACGGATGAAGAGAAGTCTGAAAGGAAAGCGATTCCGTGATGTGGATGAAGTCAAAGAAAACACGCTAAAGGCTTTGAACAGTATCCAGCCTCAAGAATTCCAGCACTGTTTTGAGCAGTGGCAAAAGCGTTGGGACAAGTGCATTAATGCACATGGACAATACTTTGAAGGGGACTAATATACAGTTCAATAAAAATGCAAAAATAAAAAATAACAAAAATAAATTCCGGTTATTTTTGGGTCCCCCCTCGTATATTTGTCCATTGATTAAAATACATGAAACTCAAGGTACATTTCAGACATATGTGCTGCCAATGCTATTGGCACAGAACACTAAATTGCTTACATTTATGCCTCCTTACAAAAATAGTCACATAATATAGTTTGTCAGAACTGATGATTGCCTCTTTCAGAGCATGTTGCTTAATATTAATCAACTGCAGCTAATGAAGGTGTTCGCTTCATTAATGTTTCCTAGCACTTCTTATTACATAATAACTCATTTCACATATTCAGATATATGCAAACTCACACTGTAGGCACATTATGAACAGAATGACTTATCATTTGCCATTATGAACACTAAATGTTGCATAATTTTTCAGACTACTTGGTGTGCTTGAAGGAAATAATTATTTCATTAGAAACATATGAGTGTACTGTGCCTGTAACTTGTTGCAGCAACCAGCTAACTGTTCCTAAGGAGGATGCCCCTCCTCCTCCATGCACTTGTACAGTCATGATTGTCGCACAGGAAACTGAAGAACCAGAGACATTATCAGGTGAACTGCATTGTTATTCTCACCTCTTGTGTCTTCATATTTACTGCATCTTGCTTCTGTTTTTAAGTATGTAAATACCAGTGTAGGTCTGTGGAGGTTGCCTGTTGCAGCAACCCTGGGAAACAAGAAACTCTGTCCCCCTCCAATAAGAATGGCTCAGCTTCCTCAAAACACCATTGTAATTTATGACCAGAATTCTAAGACACTGCAAGGCTGGCACAAACATCAACACTCCTCAAGGAAACAAGAAAGTCTGTCCCATCCCTGTGTTAAAGGTAGATCAACGTTCAAAAACTTTGTCACGGTTAAAAACACAAAATTTCCAGGCACAGATTACTGCCAATTAATGGTCATGAAATGTACAAAATATCAGAAGATATTTATTTGAATTTGATAGTCAAGGGGGAGAAGGTTGTAAAACTTACTGCCCCTAAAATTGTGCCGCCCCAGGCACCTACTTGATTTGTCTGTGCTGTTATGCTGGCCCTGGCAGGACAGACAAAGATCATCTCTGTTTATGGCAATTTGGATATGAAACCCTACTTTATGTTGTTTTTAGACTTGCAAAACATCATATTTGCTCATTTTTTATAGATTAAAGCATGTATGTGTAATTAACAGTGGAGTGTCATTCTCTGTTTGAATTCTTTTCAACCTTCATTTAAGATTTTTTGTGATTAAGATACAGAAATCTTGTACCCAAGGCAAAGCTTAAATGGGGATTTTACTGTAGTATGAATGACACAGATTCAAAAACGTTTGTAGAATTCTGAAATAAAACAAACTTAAAGTATATAATTCCAAATATACAGCACTTACATTTCTGAAAGCGTTTTTGCTCCTGCTTTATATCAGAATTAATTTTGAAGTTTACCTTTTTTATGATAAATATGAAAAAACAAGTCTGTATGCAGGCCAATGTTGCACTTAGAATGCATAAAATTAGCAGCTATACATTGAACACACCCAACACTGCAAGTACAATCCTGTAGCTGGCCAGTGCTCAGTATATTGAGCTTCAAGCAGGTTATTTAAAGGTCACTAAACTGAGAAATAATTTGTATGGAATTTACAGCATACAGTCAGAAAAGTTTTTCTCATATATAGTTTTTAGATATGACGTAGTACCTTTTATATATGAAATATTTACTCATACATAGAAGGTACTTAACATTTTGTCAAGTTATTTGCTTCATTATAATTTTTTCTCTAGATTTTTATTTATTTCTTGTTGCAGGCATTGCTGATACAAGGTATGACATACTACAGACATCTGGTAGTTCCATGGCCAATAGCTCAAGTAAAGTAGCTGGCACATCATCACATGTCCGACACCAGTCTTGCCCAGCCCTTCCCAGTTCCTGCAGCACTACAATGCTGCCATCAAAATCTAATACTACTCCTCTCTTTCCACCCCCTTTACCGCCTCCTACAGTACCATCCATCCCATCCACTTCTTTGACATCTTCAGTGTCAACGTCACAGAGCAGTAATGCCCTGTCTGCTTCTGTTGCATCTACTTCAGCAACCTCGCCCCGACAGCCTACAAGCACAGAGAGTAGTTCAGGAAATTCGCTTCAGAGACAACACAGTGGAGGAAATGCACATACTATTCATTATGCGGAACTTGCAGATATATCAGAAGAACCTAGTTATGAAAACACTATCATCATTCCTGGTAAGATCTCATTATCACAGTAGTTTATAAAGGCAAGTGAACTGTTCATTCATGTTAAGGCATATTTTCCAAGCAGGTGAGAGTGGCTCAGCTGATCAAGAAATTCCTTGTTATTATGAAACAAAAGGTCCATTTTTTCCACAAAAGTTTACCACTAGACCATTTGCTGAATCAGTTCAATTCAGTACTCCTTTTCAGTCTTGAATTCTGGTGTGATATACTTGAATATGTGCGTATTATTTATAAATAAGGTTAATTAAAACTTCTTCATTTTTTTTTACATAGTTGGCACAGTCACTTTCGATTTGCCCTTTCTTTGAGAGCCTGACTGCAGGTTAGATGGTCAGGCTTCAAATTGCCAACAAAAGTAGTGATTTTTTGCTTAGTCACCACATCCAGTCAACCTTTGGGACCCACCCAGTCTCATATCCAGTGTTCACCATGGTCAGTCTCTCCAGGAATAAATCTGCTGTAGTGTAGAACTGACTACACACATGCCAAGGTTAAGAATGTGTGGAGCTATAGCTCAACTCCACCATATATCCTCAAGATATCCTAAGTTTAATACTAGCAATTGAAAGTATAATCAGAAGTTATTAGGACTGACCGCATTTGTGGACCAGTGGTCAGAGTTCCTGGCTACAGATCCAGAGGTCCGGGTTCGATTCCCAGCGCTATCAGATTTTCTGAGAAGTAGTGGGTCTGGAATGGGGTCCACTCAGCCTCATGAGGATAATTGAGGAACTATTTCAAGGAAATAGCGGCTCAGGTCTTAAAACCAAGATTAATGGCCTTGGGGATCCGTTATGCTGACCATGTGGCACCCTCTATCCACAAAAGTTGGCACTAACTTCACTGATAAGCAGGGGCCTCTCAGTCAGTATAGTTCACTTGTGGCCTACAGGCCACTGTTCTCGTAAGCTGTATGAAATGTACCATAGGAGAAGCATTTTAATTGTGATTGACAGTCATTCTTGCTGTAACAAGAGAGATACCAGGTCAAACTGAGATCTGTGTCATGAGTGAAATAATTAATGACTAATCGTTAGGACAGTGGTTTCAAAACTCAAGTAATGGCACCCCCTCAGCTTAGCTAAGATTTTATTCTGGCCCCCCTCATTTTATGTGTGTGTATGAAGAAGAGATTTTTCATTCTGCACATTGTAAGTTGTTGTCAATTGATATTTACCAAGATTATACAAATTTTATTACATTTTGATCATATATTCAGTTCAGTTTTACTGTGTAATATTCTCAGAATATCCTGCATCCCCTACACCAATTGGTTGCAGCCTCCAAGATGAGTACACCCCACACTTTGGAAACCACCGTGTTAGGATATTAAAAGTTTTTCTGCCCATAACCATTTAAGTCCTTGTTTTACCTTCTCATATACTAACTATGAGAAAGTATTGTGATCTTGAAAAAATCAGTATCAATATTTTGACGGATTTAACCATTTTCAGAAACCCTGAATACAAAAGAAAATGTATGGTAGATCTTTGAATGCGCTGTCTGTAAAAAATGTATGTGCAGCTCAGTAGCACCTGAAAAGATGGGCAGATTTTGTTCATATTGCTTATTTAAGAATTTATCCATCATGGATCATTGCCTGAAAAGTATTAATATTCTAACTTCAAAAAATAGGAGCCCCCAAACACAAAATTCTGGTATTCTCAAAAACACCTCTTATGATTTTTATTAAATTTCAGTAGTTTATGGAGACCATCTCCCTAAATAAGACTACATAGATGATATCTCTGAGAAAATAATGGTACACCCTCTAGCAGCCCAAATGCAAAATGTAAGTTTTCTTGAGAATGTGAAGGCTGTGATCCATCAAGCATATATGAGAAAGTATGTGCAGTGTCTTCACACCCATTTTTCCACTTCCAGTACTAAGTTTCAGTTTTCTTCTCTTTCAGGAGGCACATCATTAATAAAACCAGTGTACAGTGCAGCAGTTGAAACTGATGTTCCAAACTCTGCTGTTATTGCACAGAACATCAAACCCCTTACCTTGGAAGCAAGGTAAATATAAAAATAAAGAGAATTTATAACTATAATTAAACATTTTCTGGATTTTAGAACCTACCAGTTTATAAGGTGCTTCAGGCTTCTAAATTCAGTACCTTTCATACTAATCTAAAGTTGTCTGTGTTGTTGACCAGTCAATCTTAACTGCTTTTTATATGTTCTTTGAATCGCATGAAGTATATAAAATGATTGCATAGTGGAATGATCATGTCTGTCCATCTGTCCACATGTTTCTTCTCTGCTTCTCAGTTCTGATTAAACTTAGTGTTGAGATTTACACTAAAAACTGTGTGGTATGCTTAATTCTGATCCAGTACAACTCCTGCAATAGACTAAGCTCAGTTTTTTTCTAAAAAAAATTGCTTATTGTAAAAAGATTTGTACGTAAGACAGTGTATTCAGATATTTTTCAGATTGTACAAAGACTTGCACATAAGACAATATATACTATACATAGATATTTCGAAATTGATATCTTTTATCTTAAACATTTCTGTGGTATGTATTTAACAAAGTACAAGAAAGATTTATATCTCTACAGTATTATAATGTAAATTAAACATAAAAGCAAATGTGCACAGAATTCGCAAGAATACACTGCTTTCCAAAAAGTATCCGACTTTATATTTTTCCACTGTAAGTAATGGCCAAAGGGGTGGGGAAACTGAGCGTAGTGGTAGAAGGGACTTTCATGCGCATGTATGATTTTTTGCTGACTCACAACACTGCCAGATGCATCTGTGGCTGCCAGATAGCGACGTGGTGTAACACGTGTTCGTCGCATTCTCGTTTCGCTCAAGATGACAGAACGCTTGAGCAGCGATACTGCATTAAGTTTTGTCAGAAACTTGGGGATACCCAATTGGAAACAATCGCAAAATTCAGCAGGCTTTCGGCAATGATGCAATGGGGGTCACTCAAATTAAAGAGTGGTTCAACTGATTTAAAGATGGTCGTATGTCGGCCAGTGTTGCTGGAGACTGTCAACGAGCCAGAATGCTGATGTCTTTGGAAAAGTGCAGACGCTGATCATGGAGGACCGTTGTTTGACCATCCAGGAAGTTGCCGATGAGGTTGGGATCAGCAGAGGTTCTGCAAACACAATTTTAACTGAGGATTTGGGCACGCGAATAGTGGTGGCAAAATTTGTGCCCAAGCTGCTTTCGCCGGAGCAGTAACAGCTCTGTCTTGAGGTCGCGCAGGACATGCTGGAGTGCGCCAACAGGGATCCTGAGTTCCTGAAGACTGTGATCACTGGTGACGAGTCGTGGTTGTATGGATGTGACCCGGAAACCAAGGTCCAGGTATGGAAGCATCCAACATCCCTGAGGCTCAAAAAACACTGCAGGTTCAGAGCAATGTGAAGGTGATACTGTGTGTTTTTTTTTTTTATTTATTTATTACTGGGGTGTTGTGCATTATGAGTATGCACCACTAGGCCAAACTGTCAATAAGGAGTACTACCAAGAAGTCCTCCGCCATCTTTGTGATGCAGTTCGGTGCAAGAGACCAGAGCTGTGGGATGCACGCAACTGGCAGCTGCACCATGACATTGTCCCTGCTCAATGATCACACCTGGTCCAGGGTTTCCTGGCCAAGCACGGCATTCTGCAGGTACGCCAGGCTCCCCACTCTCCTGACATTCCTCCTTGTGATTTCTGGCTGTTCCCGAGATTGAAGACACCGCTAAAAGGCTCCCGTTTTGACAACCGCTTGGACATCATACAGAACGCGATGGCACAGCTGCACGCCATTCCAAAAGAAGCCTTCCAGAATTGCTTCCAGCGATGGAAGGACCATTGGGCTAAGTGTGTGTGGAGTCACAAGGGGCCTACTTTGAAGGGGATTGGGTATTGTAACCACCCAGATACAGAACTTTGTTTTCCTTGCCCAAGGTGAGATACTTTTTGGACAGAGTAGTACATTTGAAAAAAATATGTATTCCATTGGAATACACTTTTGAAAATGTGGCACAGTTCATATATTTGGTAACAACAGTAACAAATCAAATTTTGATTCAGGAGGAAATTAAGAGGAGAGTGAATTCTGGTAATGCTTGCTATCATTTAGTTCAGAATCTTTTAACGTCTCGTCTGCTGTCTAAAAACTCAAAAATTAGAATATACAAAACTATAATTTTGCCTGTGGCTCTGCATGAATGTGAAATTTATCTCTGACATTAAGGGAGGAACATAGACTGAGGGTGTTTGAGAACGGTATTGAGGAGAATATTTGGACAAAATGGAGTGAAGTGACAGGAGGTTGGAGAAAACTATATAATAAGTAACTTCATAACTTGTACTCTTCTCCAAGTATAATTAAAATGATCAAGTCATGGAGGATGAGATGGCAGGACATGTAGCACGAATGGGGGATACGAGGAATGCATATATGATATTGATGGGAAAGCCAGAAGGAAAGAGACCACTGGGAAGACCAAGATGCAGGTGGGTGGATAATATTAAGATAGATCTTATAGAGATATTATGGGATGGTTTGGATTGGATGATCTGGCTCAGGATAGGGACCAGTGGAAGGGTCTTGTGAACACAGTAATGAACCTTCAGGTTCCATAAAATGCTGGGAAATTCTTGAGTGGCTGCCCAATTGGCAGCTTCTCAAAAAGGTCTCAGCTCCATGAGTGAGCAGTATTATCATGTTATTTGCACAGGTCTGACTTACCAGCATATATGAGGGTTATCCAGAAAGTAAAGACTTTTTTCACATAGAACTTATATGGGTCAAACAATTTCGCTATTTCAAAGTTAATGGGCAGTAGTCTTTTAGTAACAAGCCAAGTGAATGACATGCTAATTCCATCATTTAGCAATTTTTTTTGTATTATTTAAAAGTGAATAAGAAAATCGAGAATCCTACTATAATTCGGTTTTTTAATGCACAGACTGTCCTTCCTATTGAAATGTACCATCAGGTTATTGCAGTGTACAAGTGAGGAAGGTGAAGTGAATGAGTCAACTTTGAAAAAGTGGTATTGAATGTTTAATGAGGGCAGGGCAAACAGTCATGAAGATGAACAATCCTGGCACCTGTTCCTCATCACTGAGGACTTGAAAAACAGGATTGATCAACATATCAGCACAAAACAGGTGTTTCACTCTTGATGCAGTTCATGAGAATTTTTAGCAAATTTCTCATTTGCTGATTCATGAAATTTTTATGGAGCATTTCCACTAAAAAAAATTGTGCAAGATGGGTGCCATGGATGCTAACTGAGAAGCACAGGAGCAAGTGTATAGGTGCTGCTCTGCCGTTTTTTTAAGTATTATCACCAAGAGGATGATAATTTTGTAGTAAGAATCCTCGACATAATGTGAAGTAAGAAAACATTATTCTCAAATATTATACAGTGTTTCAAATCTGTAAACATTAAAAATAATCTCAGAAACATTGGTTTGTGTAAGTCAAATGCAAGTAGAGAGGATTTTATTTCTTTAGAAAATAACATAACATTGCCTTAGAAATTTTGAAGAAATACCGTATTTATGCATGTATAGGCCGCGTGCGTGTATAGGCCGCAGCACAATTTTCAGACAGAAATTATAGAAAAAATAATTTTCTTGGAATATTATTTCAGGAGTATTACACCCTGTATTACTAATTATGAATATAATTTTTTT